GCCATGCTGGAAACGGCTAAAAACCACCAAGCACCTAAATAAGACGTGACTATTTACAAAATAAAATAAGCTTTAGAACTCAACCCTGAAATTCCAAGCTAGGAATTTAGAATAAAATTTGCTGTTTACCAAAATATTACATTTGCGTCCAAGGCGCTATTTTCTAAACAAATACCCAATGTTTATGAGAGTAAAACTACAATATATCTTGATACTTGTATAGAGGATTACGAAATGTTTGTTACCTTTATTTAAATAAGGATTACACAAAGATGCATTATCTGGATTAAGTAACTAGCTTTAAATAATTAAAAGTTGATTTATACTGAGAATCAGGTGCCGTTTTGCATTATGTAAAGTTTTTCAGACATCAACAAGCATAAGATGTTTCCTTATATCATTAGTAACTATGTATTATTGTAGTTAATATACTGTTTTAAAAGATTTAGGAGAATCGTGGCTTGATTTCTTGAATCGGTTGAGCTACTAATTCATCCAACATTTTTTAATTAAACTGTCAAACACCAAGCGGTCACCGGTGACCGCAACCTATTGTTCTATAATTGTGTCTACAAAACCGGTACTCGACGAGTTAAAAGCTTCTGCCAGAAATTTTGATCCATTCAGTTTTTCGAATAAGATTGGTTATTTATTTCGGCCGTCATCATATCAGTTACCCTTCGCTTTTCCTCTTAAAAGCAGGTTTACGTTACTCTCACTACTCGAATTGCTCATATCTGGTTTTTCACCTATTTTGATTACATAAAGGTCATTAAACTTTAATGTGTCCATCTGACAAAGGATTATATTTGTATCGGTAGTATGACTTACGTATTGGAGTTAAACGCAAAAGCAATTGGTGTCACCACGATACGGATAAACCTTTTCACCGCACTGACTCATTTATGTGACGTTGCACAATAAACTACCTTAACTGTTTGCTTTACGGTTTCTTGTTCAACTTTTATGTTGTACCTGATAACTGAGTTCAAAATCAAGTCATTTCAATTTCATCGTCGTTATGTATTGTGATTGGAAAATTCAATAGCTTTATCAACTGGATTTTACGCGTTCAATAAATTATAATTAAAGATATTCCATTGTATACGCTTTCGATAACATTTATGTACAATTTATTATTGATACAGTCACTCAACGACTTACACGTTTCAACAGTAGTAATGTATAGCTATATTTATCCAAAACTTTGTTTAACACTAATCTACTTGCCTAGTGGAGCACACAGCACCTAATTACTGTGGAATGCGTGATGTCACAAATCAAACACGATGACTTACAACAAACTTGTTCAACGGTGAATATACACAGTGAACTAGCCAAACAACCTTTCCGGTCAAACCCAATAACTTTCGCACTGAAAGTGTAAAAAATCATTAAAACCCATTACATTTCTAATTGCACCGCAATTCCTAGTAAATTACATAATTTAATGACAATTATTGAACACCAGAGGATGAAATTATAAGATAAAAACAACCATAAAATTTGTAATCATTGGTGACTTTATTATTTTGGTTGAGTTTCAAATAAAAATAAATAACATTACATTTAAAATAAAGACTGAAATATTTGGAAAGCGTAAAAGAATTGCATAATAAATGTGCGAGCCCATTTAATTGTGAGTGCTACAGAATCAGTAACAGTAATTAGTGATATAATGACAGGAAATATTGTCATAACGCGTTAACAATGCTAGCGCGGACAGATAGCGATCTTAATACACGAAATATTAACACACTTTTTGCGTTCAACGCAAAAACAATCCTTTTTACATCATTCAATTTATTGTCACAAATTAGCATATTTTGAGACATTCTGGTTTTCCACATAAGTTCATTGACTTTACTACAGCCTTCGATTCTATTAATCACGGCTGACACACGGCTTATGTCGTGCACTGTGCGTACATGTTTAAACCGAATCATAACTTGTTAACACAATCAACCCTAAAGCGAAAATTTAATTAACTTTTCACTCTAATGAAAGGGATTCCCCAAGGATCTAATTTAGGTCCATAAAACACAGTATGCTTACTGTAACATGTTATTTCTAAAAGATTGCTTCAATTTTATAGTTTTTAATTGCTCCTGTTTAACGATCTTGATATAAGAAGCAACGGTTCAAGAACATAACAATAATTTCTGAGTGTTAAACCACCATAAAAACGACATTTCATATTGTTCCGAGGGTTGACAAGTCGAGGATTGTCCATCAGTTTTATAGCAATATTTCATAAACTTTAATTGTGTGAAGCAAGAATGTTATACTGCAATTTATGATTCATATGCTATGTTATGTACACACACATAATTATACTTTTTATTTATCATTGCAAGTGTCAAGCCGAGGTACAGGTTCATGGTCGCACACTCGGAGTCTGGCAAAATATATATAGTTATTTTTCAGCAGCTATCAGTAAATTTTTCTCGTTTGCAGTTCTTACTTTATTACAATTGGATTTATAACATATCTATAGAAATAAACACACTAATGTCATTCGAAGAGTAGTTAAATAAATATTATCTACCATTGTGTAGTCCTCCATTATAAGCTTCACTGCATTCTACAAAAAGTCCCCGTTACATGGGTACCATTATAAAAATCTACGTAATATTAGTCTAGACGTGTTAGTCACCGTTCATTTCTGTTGTCACCAATTGTTTCAATTTGTATCATGACATCTAACCATCATTCCTGGTTTTCAATGACTCACATGTGTTCTTCTTTGCATTCATCTGTATACCATGAACATGATTTTGACCTATATTTAACAGATTGATTTGAATGACTAATAGTGAAGAGCGTCCTCGGTTGTCTTTGCCTTTATTTTTAATTTGTTATGACTATTGTCTTCAATTTTGAAGATGTTGCATGCTGTTGTCGTTTTATTTCTAAGTTAGTAAGAAACACAGTCGCTCTTATGTTATTGCATTATTGCATACTATTTTAGGATGAGGCGCACTAACATCTCTGCAGTTAGAACAAAAAACAATGTTTATTGAAATAGAAACCATTTCACAAGCTGTCAGGGATCTATTTTCTATGTTATCCGCAGACGTAGCTAAATCCGTGACTTCACATATTTGTACATCATTAGGTATTATTATTTCGTTCAGTACCAACGGTGATTTGAATATCTACTACTTACAAGACATAAAAAATGTTCTTGTTCTTAGCTATAAAGATCTTCATATTGCCAATGGAATTTAGATTAGAACAGTGCTTATCTGTTACTTATCCAATAAATTCTGCTTATACAGCACTAAAAACTTCACGTAATTATGATTGATACATATTCTGAGTATTCAAATTTGATAATTCATTCGTATGATATTTTATATTCTCAAGTGGAGGCCTAATTCTCAGAAATGACATGAATCATGTCTTTGGCAGTGAGGTTTTTGTATGAAGGCTAACTAAGTTTTCGTTATAAATAAATTTTGACATTGAAATCGGTTGTATGAAAAAGTTTAGAATTGATACCTTACAAGAACTTAATGTTATAATTGGTAACAACTATTAGGTTTATTATATAACGTATAGTTCCATAAAAAGGTCATAATATTATTGTTATTATAACAAGGAAAATGAAATAGAAGTTGACAAAAACGTTACGTGTATAATATTAATGAATTAAAGGTCAAAAACAGATTGTGAACTCGCCTTTTCAAAGATAATTTTCTAACAAAAATAAGTGATGGGAAATACGAGCGTCATATACCACTGTCGACGACAAGATTTGTATAGAAAATAGGCTGTTGCTAATTCAAACAAAAACTAAAGGCCACATCTGTCAAAATTTCTATTGAAACATGCAGAGCGAATTAGGCACCACTAACTTTCCAAGTACAAACTACATTTTTACAATCAAACTTCAACTTTAGCACAATATATGAAAGTTGAAAACGTATTGTGTCAGCTTAGTGTAAATTGATGTGCTTCTGTACTTAAATGAGGCCTCGGTTCAATAACATCTGACTACAAATCTCGATCGACGCGTGCTGAAAACAAATGCTTTTAAACAATGACCTTCTGGTCTAACCTTCAAGAGAACAAGGCCAAAAATCTAGGTCTTCAGCTCGATGATGAGTCGAAAATAGTTGAGTAATATATTTAACAGTCGAGAAATGAAACATAATACCAATGTTTTTAGAGCTTTGGTATGCGGGCATAAAGTAATCAATGTTAATATAAATCTTATTAACTCAGACATCGATACTATAATAAACATTTATTATACCTAGTATCAAAAAATATTCTAGTCTTTATTCAATCCTTTAAATTCTACAAATTTTGAAAAGTATGAATTGTTGAAATTTCTTAGTAATGTCACCAGTCGCACACGTAGGTACTTATTGGGTTTTGGGAATAGTCTATACTATAGGCTCATAACATAAATAGTGAACAGTGGGTGTTACATTGTACAGTGGCATAATGTGCACCTCTGCCTACCCCTTCGGGAATAAAAGGCGTGATGTTATGTCTGTACCAATTCCAATTTAGAGAGATATTAGACTTGTCCTTAAATCCGAACCTGAAATATTGCTGGCTCAATTAACACTATTCTTAATAGTTTCTAAGTTCATTTGTTCTGGTGTTATAGTTATTGTGGAATTTCACCCAGATCGTAATCAACGTCGTTGGTAATAAACGTTTCGTCTGTTTGCTTTACATCATATTTCTCTTCATTGTTATTGTTTGGAGAATATTTGCAAACTTAGTTATTTGCAAACTAGCTATATTGTTGGTAACAGAACCGTCTTCGTCTATATTTATTTCATGTTTCTATAGGAATTTGTTAAGTTCAATGAGTCTATTCCACTCTATCTATTTATAGAAATGTTAGTATGGTAACCCATTCATATCCAAAACGACGATAAGTAGTCTACTAATCAAACATAATTATCATCAAGACATAAACATCAACTTTATCTAAGCAATATTTCTCAAAACTAAGCAATGTTCTATTTTCTTTCCAGTACGACAAAGATAAAGATGGACGAATCTCCTACGTGGAGCTTAAAGAGATCATCAACTCGGTGGAATACCAACATGACCTGCCAGACAATGTGGTGGACAAGATCATGGCTCTGGCCGACAGAGACAACTCAGGGTACCTAGACTTCAACGAATTCGTGGCCATGATGCAGAACCCAGACTTGAAAGCAGTATTTGGACACTTTGTAGCGAGATATGTGCACTCTATCATACCCCATCGAGGACCAGTAGATACTACAGGTAATTTTTTGACCATACAAACACTATTTTATAAATCAAGCTATACAAAACTGATATAAACGAACCGTTGGATGTCCGGAAAGATTATAGAAATCCAGAGCATGATAAAGCGGTTTTGGATGGCTTGATGTCCAGCCATGTCTACCTACCTCACTTTTACTTGATTGATTTTAAGCAGTTTAGTTGGTGTGTTGAATATTTCTTCAATATAGTGCACAGATGAGAGCGTATCAGACTTTTCAATTTTAATCTGATCTGTAATTGAATAAAGTGTTGTCAGAATTCTGATTGGCTGTCGTCTTTACCTGTGAATTTTTTCGAAGAAATTCTTTCTGAATCCAGTCTATCTTGGCAGTAAACTTCGTTTGGTAACTTCAATTAAATGCCAATATGGTGAATCTTGATTCGTTAAATGTAGGTGTAACTGGATGTCACATTTGTAAAATATGGTGTCATAAATGATCACTTCCTAAGCTGTCATTGGTTCCCATTCACATACTTCTTGGGTGCTCTTAAATGGAAGTCCATTTTTCATTACAGCACAAAATGGGAAATGGAATCCTTTTCTTATGCCTGACATAATACGCATGTTATGTCAAAAATATAATTGAAAAAATGAATTGTCCAAAATTATCATATAAAATATTCCTTAAAATGGCAGATACCAATACATTTTTTCATACAAAAAGTGTTAATTTTTTCAAGAGTGCCATGCTTTAGTGGTTCTATACTTTAATATATACACTAAACATTGCACGTGTTTTATCACTATGTTACAAATTGTTTATTTTATCAATTCACATTATCAAGTCTGAAAGGCTTTACAGTTAGATATGACATAATATTAAGTCAGAGTGATGACATCTAGACACAATATTTAGTCCTTCGGGCCCCCATCACGTTGCACCCGGGCCCCTTCCCTAGTACGGCTCTGTGAAAAGCAATTGTTATTCTGGTTACACCTGTGTTGCACGCTGCATGTAAATAAATCACGTAGCTAATAGTTCACACGTTAATTAGTGCTAGTAATTAATTAGTTATTGTTATCACACCTATGTTAAAGCTTTCTATACATCTGTTTGATTTGAACTACAACACCTGTCAAACACGTGTATTTAATTATAATTGAATAAAATGCAATATCAACGTGTGAATTATGTTATGAATAGAGCCATTAGTTGATTTTCTTAAATGGAATGTGAAATTGAAGCTTGCATAGATATAACAGTTTTTGTGGAGTTATATAGAAATGTAATTGTGTAATATATTATCTGCAATGTGCCAGCTGTTTTAGATGTGTTAATAATAAATATCTGTATTGCGGTGTGGCGCTACAAAAATCTAGTTGGCTAAGGCAAACGATTGTTCGTTTATTTGTTTATATCTTTACGGGAAGCAACTTTTGATTGATAATAATGTATAATAATTTAGTTATATTTAAAGATAGCTCTAAGCGTCTGATACAAATAAGTAATAATAGATTATTTTTTATACTCTTTTGCCTTATGCCACAGCAATAAATGCTAGCTTCGCAAAAACACAAAATCTTATCAGTTAATATTATGTCTACGCGACTTTTTTGACGGCACGAAGCAAGACAGCCTTTCCAAATAAGAAAATGACATGTGGAATGCAATATAGACAACGTCTATCTCTATGCGTTCTGTTTTTACATAAACCTGTAAATATTTATTTTCTCATACATGTATTATTGAATTGCATCTCTAGGTACCTAACTAAACTAATATTAGTGTGAATGTATATATTTTAAGTGTAACAACTAACTTTGTTCGGTAGGAACGTGGACAGGTTTCCGGCCAGTTACCAGAAGTGATGGCGGTACTTTTTGTTTTTTCTTTTTTTTATCTGTTCCATCTATCATTTGGCTTGATTTTTTAAATATACATGCTGTTTAAAATTTAATTCGTTAATTCAAGGAAATATTATTTCTGGTTCTAATATAATATTACATTTTTAATGTACAGTATGTATATTTAAAAATAATTCACAGCAAATGGGGTTTGCTGTTGAATATCAAAATTGGTTAATCGCATCAAAATTCATTCCAAATCATTGTTGTTCTCATAATAATGTGGTCGTCATTCGTCAGAAATCATATTAATCTTGATAATAGAGATACTTGTAGGTACAATGGGACATAAAACCCACTAAAAGGATTGTCTGATTATTGTTGTTCTCCTTTATTGTACAGCTATCTTCAACTATGTTATAGATAAATTGATATTGCATTCCTTTTTAAGAAAATACGTACGCAAATGTCATAAATATGGGCGCTAAACTCTCGGGAATAACTGCATTGCAGAGATTCTAAATATAAATAAAAATCGAAATGCTACATACGAAAAACGAGGCGACGTCTATCTGGCGCGCTAAATTTTAAAATCACGTATAAATTGGCGCCTCAGTCTTTTTGTAGGTATTTTAAAAGTAACAAGTAGATGTACTAATCGGTCAAAGCTGTCTTTATAAACCGGTATAAATAAATGACGTATACATACTTGTATGCATATAAACGTATTTACCTATTGCCCAGAGTACCGCATTAGTTACCTAGATTTTTTTCGAACAATAACAAAAGGCCAAGGTTCTTACGCAACCACACGAATAAGGATAATGGTTTTCTTATTATTTTATTTAAAAACTAAAGAATAACGCTTCGTTATTGTTTATTGGTGTTATCGCATAGTACGTGACCATTCAGCGATGTCACATACACAGGACATGTTTTAATAATATTATAAGCCTTGACACCGATGCACCTAATTTATGAATAAAAAAAAAATCAATTTTCCTCATTTTATTGTAAATTAGATTTTTTACACAAATATTTTATTCATGTCATGTTAAGGAAAATCGTTAATAATTTCCAAGTTAGAAAGATAATCACTAAATATCACTTAATAGCACCATTATTCCATGTCTGAGTAGTTTATGAACTTGATATTTTCTCGCATATTTGCTTTTCAAAATAGTTGCAATAAAAAAAACTAAGCTAGAATACAAAAACAGAAATTAATATAACAGTCAAAGATTATGTCCCATAGTGCCATTCGATTCATTTACCTCTAGCTAGTTTCTGTAAAATATCGATCCAATGCGAATTCTGCAAAAAGGAACAACTAAAACTTCAAGCTGTTTGTTGTTAGTATGAAGAAACTTGATAAATGATAAAGATTCACGAAATACATATTCTATAAGACGGTTGTAGGATTACCGAGCATAAAGTCTCGATTACAGGGCCGAACTGTTTCGATTTTGGGACCCTCAACCTCAACAGACTATTGGTAATAGGATCGTCCAATTAAATATCGTACATAGATCTATCATGTTAATAGGGCCTAATAATATAACGCAAAAAGTGCAGCAATTCCTTTTTTTTTGAGAATGTGCAGGATGTTTTTAGTGTGGGAAAGCCATACTTCGGCACGAAAGGGCCGGCTTGACGGGAGTGATACTACGACCTCACAGAATACCGACGTGTAGCAAAGCTTGCGTTGTGTTTCGTCGTGTGAGTGAGGTTACTGGAGGCCCAATTACCCTTCCTCCCCTTCCTCAATCTCACCAATCCCTCAGTCCCCAACGATCCTCAAATTCCTAACCTAATTCCCAAAAGGCCGGTAACGCACTTGTAAAGCGTCTGGTGTTCCAGGTCACCATGGGCGACGCCGATCCGTTTGCCCATTTACCGGTTTATGCCATAAAAAAATGTCATACCCGTCATGTCAAAAATTACAATATTACGAATACCGTATCTACCGTATGTAGAAAACTCTTATACATTTATTTATGCAACATACTTGGTATCGTCTATACTGACAATGTACAAAAAATTAGCAAAATCGGCCCAGTAGTTAAGCCAAAAAGAGCATTTTACTCTTTGAGAAAACGTAAACACTCTTTAAGTTCATTGACGCAGGTCAATGCACTCCAATGCGCGACGTTGCCACTTTTCCTGTTTCGGTTTTCAAAATGAGAAAAGAATTGGTATAATCCTAACCAGACCCAAAATAATATGATAAGTATGTCACTGCACCGTCCACTAATCCACATTTTAAAAGAAATAATCGCGATGAATCTTTAATTTACACTGTAGGTACGCACATTAAGCTATGCTAAACCAGTATAAACTGATCGTTGAATATGAAGAAAGATCATACAAAACGAGACCAAGATAAAATGGTTGTTGTTCTTGTAGGTACTCGCCGTCTGTGTTAAACTATTTATTTGCCATATTCAATGAAGATGTCGATTCACGAGTTTGATTGAAAAAAAAAACACCTCAATTCCATTCGGCTCTTGATTTGAAAACTAGAAAACACGTTTCATAAACTTTTTGTGTACCTACACAAACTTCTAGCCGCTTACAACTAGTTACAATACCTTTTATTATGAAAAGAACGAATAAAATTACCTTTTTCAGTTACGCCTAATCCGGGCTAACACACGTTTAGTTTACGCCTTAAAAAAATCTTTAAACGACAACACGGATATCTCTCACTTGTTTAATTCATTTAAACACACATCACTGATCTTACTGTTGCAATTTTCCATAATTCATTTACAGTTACAATTACAATTTATTTACTTGCACTCAGAAAACCAATCAAAACAAAATTCCGCGTAAAGCTCAAGTAGGTATAAATTGTTTTGTTTGCAATGAAGTAGTAGTTCCTACACGAACCACGCTTACACAATGGTTGGGTGGCGGCGCTGGTGGCAGTGAAACCAACAGTGAAATTGTGCAAATATCGATTTCACAAAGAGTGTTTGGCATTTTGTAGTAGTTCGGCAATTTCTCCATAGATGGCACTATTACAATTTCTTCAAATTATGAATCAAAATTTATTAAAATTACGAATTTATTAAGGAGTCTGACATTTGTATCGAATTAATGAGTGAAATTACGTATTTATTTACCTTTCTAAGTCGATTACCACATTTAAGAATCTCTTTCTGCCAATATCGTCTAGTTGACACGGAAATTGTACAAATATCGATATCACAAAGAATGTTGTAGTAGTTCGGATTTTTTTCCATAGATGGCACTTTTTCAAAAACCAAATTATGAATCAAAAATTTATAAGTTAAGAAATTCGTCGAAAAATACGAAAGTACGTATTTATTTACCGTACGTATTTCTAAGCCGATTATAACATGTAAGAAAGAGAAGATGCGAATATCGTCTCGTTGACACGCACTTGTCAGTAAATAATGAAGTAGGTAGGTAGTCACAGTTGTAATACCCTTGTTCATAACATTATTGCAACCAAATGTCGGGTAGTTAACCGTTATCAAATATTAATTTAATAATTTAATTTATTCTTCAAAGATACCTATTAAGTACCTACATCGGAAAACAAAACTAATAGGTACAGTGGCCAGCAGATCAACGTACACATCTGACAAATTTATTAATTGGATTTTCGACTTTATGTCAATACGATAAAGTTGAAGTTACCGTACCACTAATAAATAGGTGTAAGTACATCAGCAGTGCCGTGTATGTAATAGCCGCACCAGCGGTCGGTTTCTTTTGACGGCTTTTGTCAAAGATACCGCCGCTTGCGGCGGCATCGTGAAAGGGGTAGTTTCCCTTTCAGTACGCCGCGTTTGTGATCGAATGAGTTAGAAAATAAAATTTGTTCATCAGTTCACTGCTAGACTTCCGGGATAGTGTGTGTGCTTTTCGCTAATTTCCGACGGGTTACGCGCGCGTTGTGCTAAACGATTGTTGTTGTTTTTTGTAATTAATTATTATTTTAGTTCTTAGTTTTTTTAATTATTACCTAGTTTTCTTTACTGTGAACCGGACACTGACATTTGTACTTTTGTTAACTGTGTATTTTATTTTATTTATTTAACTTTTAATTGTGTGTTTACGTGTGTCTGTGTGTTGTGCCGAAATGCCGCGATATTATTACATGGTGAATGTCATCGTTAGCGTCGGCTCTGCGAACTTATCGGGGGAGGTACGGCGCATCTCGTCACTGTTCGACTGATGTTTGTACAAAGGCTTAGAGAAAATCTGCCCATAGTGCCCAATACCCATGATGGAGCTTTGCTGGTCGGCAAACTTCATCGATCTTGGAACAAAGGGTTTTAGCCTATTTCCGCAATAACCCAACCTGCAGTCTTAGGCAAGCAGGGCGTACGTTCCGTTATCGTCCAATGGTTCACGAGTTCAAAGAGTGAATGAGCCCCGTCACTGCAGTGTTACTACCAAGCCGCGTCACCCGTGCCTTCCATAACGTATGCGACGTTGCCGCTCTTCTGAGGTCAAGGTACGTTGTTACACAGAGTGTTATACTTTCTTGAATCTATTTTATTATTTGTTTTGTTTGAAAATTTCACTTTTTTAATTTAAGGTTTTCGTCTAAATCTTTGGTCGTGTTATACTTCTGTGTAATAATACTACATTATAGTTCATTTATTGTATAAGTCCGTGCCACATACTGTATATTCCGGTTGTTGTGTGAATCGTGTGTAATCGACTTACATGTCCTTGACTCATTCCGTATCGTAGTCTGATATCGATATTTACATTCCATATCTTTACATATCGCGTTGATAAGTTTTATTGTACCCAATAAAATATACAGGATGCAACATGAATCATTCTGAAAGTTTCGTCCTTAAGTGTATCTCATGAGTTATTCTTCGTAATGAAATATTTTATTACCTACTAGCTGACCCGGCAAACATCAAATTTTTTTGTTCTCACCGTTTAAACCTTCCCTGGACTTCCACGAACATTTGAAGTCCAAAATTAGCCAAATCGGTTCAGCCGTTTTCAAGTTTTAGCGAGACTAACGAACGGC